CCCTCCCACTTCCCTGTTACGATGACCAGTTCTTTGTCTCGGACAAGAGTTCTTGCTGTGCTGCGGCAGTTTGATTAACCGCTCGCCCACCACGCCCACCCCCTTCGTAACAAAACGTCGATTGGACTGCCCAGTCATTCTGTCCCGCATGAGACTGGTTTCTGAAGTCGTCCTTATTTTCTAATGAATCCCTGCTTTTATTATGTATTATTTTTTTGCACAGATTGCCTTTATAGAAATAGTCCTGATACGAGATGTGATACGACAATACGATCCGTAAATTATTTCGAGTTCCCTTTCGGGCGTTTCCACGGGGTCCGAAAGGTGGTTCGGGATATTTTTAAAAAATTGTTCAGTTAACTTCTGTTTTGTTTTGTTGTTGGTTTTTTCCCCCCCCTTCTATCCAGGATGTCGCTATTGCGTGAATTCTCCCATCAGACTGTCGGGCAGTCTCAATTCTGGGCACGCGTTATGAGCGTTGAAACGGGAGGTTGACGTTTGCCTGTCGGGTGAAGAATGTGTGTGTGTGTGTGTGTGTGTGTGTGTGTGTGTGTGTGTGTTTGTGGGAGGGGTGTGGTGGCTTCCAGCTAGGGTTTATTGGCTGCGTGTTGATGGGTCCGAGGCCGGAGAGGAGAGTTTCCGGGGCGTGTTGAATCTCAAGTTGTCGGTGCCGCCTGCATTCCAAGACAAGACTCTTTGTTGGTTGTCATCGACGAACTTGATATTCATAGAGTAGTGTTGGTTGCCGGGGGGTATGAATAAAAGGGACTGACTGACAGCTTGAAAAAAGGAAAAGTTGAAATTGGAGTGAGTGGTTAGCGGGTGCTCTGTTATGGTTTGCTCCTTAAAATTTTTTTTTTACCAAACATCTGATGGCTTTTTCCTTTTCTCTCCTCTTTCTTTTATTTGTATGTTACTCTCCAGTAACACGTCCTATTTGCGGCCCTAAAGTGACCTTATTGTGCAGCAAGTGCCGTAAAACTCTTGCTGAAACTTATTGTAAAAGAGACTCTCAGGGACGTGTGAATTTTGGTTGCTGTTACTTACCGTCGTCTGTTTTTCAAAACTCATTGATTGCCACTGACAAAATTGATTATTCATAGGGCGATGTCGATTGCCGGGGTTATCATTTAAAGTGATTTAGCTGAAAAGAGAAAGAGGTAGAAATTTGTGATTGTTGTCAGTTGCTAAAAAATATAGAAATGAAAGGAGCAGCGACATTTATATGAATAATGGCCTGCTCAGCGATCAACTTCCGCCCACCACCACCCCAGAGTGAGTCATATAAACCATCCCTTTACCATTGTGTGTGTGTGT